TATTCATCAAAGAGTCCTGAAAAAAAATTGTATTGTACAAAATTATTAAGCAGTTTTCAACATTGATAATAATCAGAAATGTTTCTTGAGCAGCAAATCAGCATATTAGAATGATTTCTGAAGATCATGTGACACTGAAGACTGGAGTAATGATGCTGAAAATTCAGGAATAAATTACACTTTATAATATATTCACATAGAAAACAGTTATTTTAAATTGTAATAATATTTCACAATATTACTTTTTCTGTATTTTAAATCGAATAAATGCAGCCTTCTTGAGCCATTGATTTTTTTAAAAATGTTAGTCATCCTCATGTCGTTCCAAACCTGTTTGACGTACTTTTTTCACTGGAACATTTTGAAGAATGTTTTGCGTCCAAACCACATTGCATGGCAAAAAAACTCTCTTGGAGCACCTTCAGCAGGATGTGTTTTTCCAGAGGGCTGCTAAGATCTGCTGCATGTGCTCGTCTGTTCTGGATGAGATGCTGTGGTTCGGCCCAGAAGCTGTCAGAAGGCACAGGTCTGCTGTACGGCCCATCTGGGCCTCTGCCGTCCCGTTTGGCCATCTGCGGTGCACCTCAAGTCCTGGCAGTGAGACCGGGACGCCTATACATAAATAGAAAAATTTGAAAGTCTTTTTTTTTTTTTACTTTTTTTGGCTGATTAGATAATCAAAATACTTGCAAATAGTGCTGGGCGGTATACCGGTTCATACCGAATACCGGTGTTTATTTATGTTATGATATGAATTTTTAAAATACCGCAATATCGGTGTATGTCACTTAAACAACGTTGGGAACGCGGCACTGTTTGAAAGGCGTCCCTTTTCACTGTTGCACTGTGGTGAGGGAACAGCTGTATGTGTTACTAAGCGTGAAAGTTCAGAAACTGAAGCTGTAGAACTAATAGAACGTGAGGACACAGAAGAACTCATCCACAAAAAAGTAATATAGCCAAAACAACCGCATAGCCGCTCTTTAGTGTAGATGCATGTTGATTTTATCAGACGATGCCGTGATTATAAATGAGAGTGACTCCTGGTTAACATGTATTAAAAGGGGTCGTGTTTAGTCACTATTTAGTAGTATTTTTTGACAGTTCACTCATCATGACAGTAAAATAGGGCATTCTAAGTCAATATACTGCAGTATTTCCTCTCAATCAGTAGAAAATATGGTTAACACCCGGTCACGCATGAAAAAAAAATACCGTCATGTACCGTGAAACCGGTATAATTTAGAAAAATACCGTTTTTCTGAATAAAATTTTTGGTCATACCGCCCAGCACTACTTGTAAAGCAAGTAACACTCAGACATGTATGTTCTATGCAATTGTTTTGATTGAGGGAAACAAGCTTACAATTCGAGTTTCAGCATTATTTTTTTCTTCAGACATTCCCCTTTAAATATAATAAGTATCAGCTAAATACAAAGTGATCAACATTTGTTTTTCGACCACTGAAAATGGGTAATATTCAACAATCTGAATATGGAGCTGCACTAAGATCCCATATCTATGTGACTGAACGATATAAGGCCTTGAAAATGTAGATTCCAAAAGAAAAGATTATTAAGAACCAGAATAGCGTGAAAGTTCAGAAACTGAAGCTGTAGAACTAATAGAACGTGAGGACACAGAAGAACTCATCCACAAAAAAGTAATATAGCCAAAACAACCGCATAGCCGCTCTTTAGTGTAGATGCATGTTGATTTTATCAGACGATGCCGTGATTATAAATGAGAGTGACTCCTGGTTAACATGTATTAAAAGGGGTCGTGTTTAGTCACTATTTAGTAGTATTTTTTGACAGTTCACTCATCATGACAGTAAAATAGGGCATTCTAAGTCAATATACTGCAGTATTTCCTCTCAATCAGTAGAAAATATGGTTAACACCCGGTCACGCATGAAAAAAAAATACCGTCATGTACTGTGAAACCGGTATAATTTAGAAAAATACCGTTTTTCTGAATAAAATTTTTGGTCATACCGCCCAGCACTACTTGTAAAGCAAGTAACACTCAGACATGTATGTTCTATGCAATTGTTTTGATTGAGGGAAACAAGCTTACAATTCGAGTTTCAGCATTATTTTTTTCTTCAGACATTCCCCTTTAAATATAATAAGTATCAGCTAAATACAAAGTGATCAACATTTGTTTTTCGACCACTGAAAATGGGTAATATTCAACAATCTGAATATGGAGCTGCACTAAGATCCCATATCTATGTGACTGAACGATATAAGGCCTTGAAAATGTAGATTCCAAAAGAAAAGATTATTAAGAACCAGAATCTAAAATCATATTGAGGTATCATTAATACTTCTTGAGTTGCAGTCATGCAAACTTTGGAAAAAAGAATATTAATGGCACTCAGACAGGTATGTTCTGTGCAGTTATTTTGATATTGGGAAACAAGATACATTTTTAGTTTCAACTTTATTTGTTCTTCAGACCTTCCTCTTTAAAAGAAAAAAAGAATCAGCTGAATGCAAAGTAACGCAGATTTGGTTTTTGACCACTGAAAATGTGAACTACTTACTCAACTTTTTACTCCTGGAGCCATCTTAAGATCCCAATATTGCTGGAATGGAACCATATAGAGCCTTAAAAATGAAGATGCCCAAAGGAAAGTTTATTAAGACCCAAAATCTAAAAGGGCATTAAGATATCTTTAAAACTTCTTGAGTTACAGGCATGCAAACTTTGGAGAAACAACTTGAAAAGTTATTTTTCCCATTTTTGAATGGTCACCACTGTCATATAATGCAACAAAGATTGCTCAAGTCAACAGATTTTACTAATAGACCAACCAATCTCTGTGTAAAAAAAATATATTGATGCTGCCATCTTTCTAAAGTAATTTTTACCCCCTGTAATCTGGCTTCGAACCTCAGGTGAAAAATGTCCATTTGACCCTAAAACAAAATAGTCGAGCAAGTCCTGTGCAGCGCTGCCAACGACTTCCGTAACCCGACTGAAGCACGTTGATGGGCTGCTCTTGCTCTCGCTCTGGTTGATGTGTGCGTGTGCTCTTCCTGAAGAAGAATTCTGCCCTTCATGACATCATGAAGAGCCATACTTAAAAAATAAATAAATAAAAAACCTTTCCAACCCATATACAAACCCTGAAGGAGTGTCTTTGGCACAGAAATACTCCGTCATACATCCAACTCATTTTTTGAGACTTTGGTCATGTTTAGCATGAGAATCCAACTCTTCATTATTATTATTATTTGTTGGAATCGGACAAAAAATAACTGAGCTACACCCGTTTGAAGTCGATTTCGCTGGTTCAGACTCATGCCATCGAGAATTCACTGTGAATATTCACAAAGCTGGAACGCTGCGCTTTATAACTCTACCGAACTTGTGCTGAGGGGAAGCAGCAGAGCAGAGAAAAAGGTGCACCTCTCAGAAAACATACAAATAAAGATAATTTGTGACCCTGGACCACAAAACCAGTCATAAGGGTACATTTTTTAAATTGAGACTTATGCGTCATCTGAAAGCTGTATAAATGAGCTTTCCATTGATGTATGGTTTGTTAGAATAGGACAATATCTGGCTGAGATACAACTATTTGAAAATCTGGAATCTGAGGGTGCAAAAAAAATCTAAATATTGAGAAAATCATCTTTAAAGTTGTCCAAATGAAGTTCTTAGCAATGCATATTACTAATCAAAAATTATGTTTTGATATATTTACAGTAGGAAATTTACAAAATATCTTCATGGAACATGATCTTTACTTAATATCCTAATGATTTTTGGCATAAAAGAAAAATCTATAATTTTGACCCATACAATGTATTGTTGGCTATTGCTACAAATATCCCCCAGCGACTTAACACTGCTTTTGTGCTCCAGGCTCACATTTTAGATTTTTAATTACTATTTGGAGCTTTGGGATCGCTAGACGAGGGCTACATTTTTGTGAAACCCTCAAATTCGACCAAAAATGACTTTTTCCACTTGTTTTTTTTTTTTGTTTTTTTTTGCCTGTAGCTCAAAATTAGCCTGTCCGCATTCTGACTCATTTTGCCAGCACGGATCACATATATTGCGACTGACCGTGATTATTGTCATTTTGTACTATATTTTGCCTTTCGTGAGTGCAAAAATGTCTCAATACTGGAGACTTGTTGTGTAGTGCTAGTTTTGACACCGTGTTCGCCACAAAATGTCATGGTTTCGGCTCATACTAGCTGTTTGCGTGTGTGTTTCTCTTTCACGTTAGTCTAGGAGCTCCTCAGCATTACGGCCGGACTGACAGCACTTGCTCCTGGTTTCACTGCGTGTGTGTCAGCACCTCCTCAGCGAGAGTTTGAGAGTGGGGCTGTAATGTGAGGCGCTCTGGCAGACAGCACAACAGATTGCTCTTTTAAAGCAGTTTAGCGCAGACACAGACGTGTGTGGGATCCCTCTGAGGATTACTGCAGCTCGCTCACTTGATGCTTTTCTTTGCTTCTAGCTGCTGTCTTGGAGTGTGTTTGTTGTTCTTTGCCCATTCAAAGTCATTTTCAGAAGAATGGATACCAGTTAAAAATGAAGTCAGCTTTTAGATTAATGTTGTCGTTGAAGTCCAGTCTGAAGCTCACAGCTCATGTGAATCATGAAAACAAACTCAAGCTGTTCATTCAAACTAATGTGTCGGTCACTGAATCAGTTCATTAAAATGACTGTATTTGTTGACTACTAACTAATACTAACAGTTGAAATCAAGTTACAGTGAGTCACTCTCACTAGCTCAGCTTATTACGGTAAAGCGTTTAAGACAGATCAGCCTCTCCTCAGAGTATTTACTGACTCACCAAACCTCCCGCTCCGCCGACTTATGAAATACACTTTTAGCTATCAATGTACTCTCCTATATGTACTCTTAACCCTTCACCTGCCCGTCCACTCCTGCTTTCCTCTGGTTCAGTGATGGGCTGCTGGTTTGGAGGTCAGGAGGCTGATTTCTCTCGGTCTCTCTGTCTTGCTCCAGATGGTCACGCGTGGCTGTGAGACCATAGAGATGACCTTGCGCAGGAACGGTCTCGGTCAGCTCGGCTTCCACGTCAACTTCGAGGGCATCGTGGCTGACGTGGAGCCGTTCGGATACGCCTGGAAGGCTGGTTTACGTCAGGGCAGCCGGCTGGTGGAGATCTGTAAGGTGGCGGTGGCGACGCTGACCCACGAGCAGATGATCGACCTGCTGCGCACCTCCATCTCCGTCAAGGTGGTCATTATCCAGCCGTATGAGGACGGAGCTCCCAGAAGGTATCAGTGATCTGTTCTGTTCATCCTCCTATCCTTGTCTACACCTGCTATTAACATCCATCCCATTTACCACTTTTTCCTGATAGTTGTTTTCCTTTAAAGCTAGATCTCTAAAATATATTAGATTAGATTTGATTAGATTTTTTTCATTATTGTGTATTAATTTATAGAAATGTAATACTTTTATAATAATAATTTTTATTTAATTTTTTATTGTATTTAATTTTATTTAATTTTATTTATTTATTTTTATTTTATTTTTTTATTTTTTATTATATTTTATTTTATATTTTATATTTTATTTTATTTTATTTTGCCATGATTGAAGATGTTACATTTTCAGTATTAACTCATAGTTCCATATGAAATTGATTACTTTGGCTGAATAAATCACCCAAGATGGATCCTAATAGCAGGTTTTCTGCTGCTTTTTTTCAGCTTTACTCACATGATGTATTGTGTTGGATGGGATATGTCTGAGTTTTAAGATCTCACTCTTATAAGCAGTCAAAACTCCACTCCACTTCTTGTTCTCAAGTCGCTCCATTATCCAGTGTTGTTAGCATGATGCCGCTCTGGAGCTGATTTGCTGTGAATGGACGGTTTGCACCGGGAAGCTCTGTAAGTGATTGTAGTGGATCAGTGGGAACAGAAGGAGAGCGCTGGCGTTCCCGAGCAGACGGCCGCTTGTGTACCGACAGCAGTGGCGTAATGCGGCTGACAGATCTGGCCAGCTGGGCCGAGGCCTGACGCTCACGGGGCGGTCATCTTTCACCCAGCGATAGCGGCAGGAGGTGTTTGATTATTGAAGAAACGTCTGACGACTCGCAGAGCAGCAGATTGTGCTTTTAGGGTTCGTCTGCTCGTCCCTCCAGTTAAAACAGAACAGATCCACCTGCACAGTCACTTACCATCAGCCACCCATCCATATGTCAAAACAGAGTGTTTAAAGCTTTTTAAAGTAAATCTCATGAACACTTTTGAGAAATTACTGTGTATTTATCTATCTATAATTTAAGTATTATTTTTGCTATATATTTATATATTTCATTATTACAAATATTCTGAATAATAATAATTTATTTCATTAGAATTATTATTTATATACATTTATTATTATTATTATTACAACAGACAATATGTACTGTATATACATTATATAAATATGTTATTTCTTCGTGCTTAGAATCTTACTGTTCCACTTACTGTAATATTTGATCAGATTTCCTAAAGAAATTATCATATTAATTTGGCTTTTCACACATGAAAAAAACTGACTAGTTAATTAGTTTGCTCTTTTTCTGTTAGTTCTTTAACTGAGGCTGATTAGGTTAAGCAAACAAATTTAACCTCGCTCTGAACTGTTCACTCGGTTAGCTCACAAACATACCTGATGGACAGACCGAGAGATTTAGTCTGTCGTCCCTATATTTGAGCCTTTAATATTGGCGTATTATAGTCACATCCCATCCAAACATCCCTCTGTCAATCCAACATGTCAGCAAATCCTCTTACAGTGATCTGTGATCATACGTGATCATCGGTCATCATACATGACGCAGCAGAAGCTTAGAGCGGCTCAGTATTATGATTACTGACCATCAAGGTTTCTGACTGTTCAAGAAGTTTGTCATTTTAACCAATTAAAAATTATCTGTGAGTAGCTCTCAATTGACCTATAAACCATAATGGATAACTGTATTTTTACATTTTCTGAGTGAGTAAAGGTCCGTTCACACCAAGCACGATAACTATAAAGATATAGTTCTAAAAATCGTTCTCAATATTAAAGAATAGCGTAGTTCACACCACAACTATAACGATAACGATACAGAGGAATGATATCGTTGTGATCACTTTCAAAACAATTTTTTTCCAGCTGATGAACGATAAAACACTGAGAGCCAATCAGAATCCATCCTGCTGTAATGAGCTCGAGAATTTAAAGCGGCAGACACATGTGCGCTTAGAATAAACGGACGATATCATTCGCTGGTGTGGACGCTAATATCGTTATCTTTATAGTTATCGTTCTTGGTGTGAACGGGGCTTTAAACACGGTCAGGTGGTTGTCAGGGTGTTGCTGTGTGGTTGCTAAGGTTCTGAGTGATTTTAGAATGTCGATGTGTGGTTTCTAGGTTGTTCTGAGTGGTTGCTAGGTGATGACCTGTTGTTTTTTTCTGTATGGTCTGCTGATAGCAATGTGGGATGCCAACATTAGCAATTATAATCCTGGCAACAGATCATCATCCTGTGCATCAGAGATGTCAGGAGAGTAAAAGTGTGGAGTGATTTTAACTAGTATTTTTTTAAAGGAGTAGTTCACCCAAAATGAAAATTTGCTCAAAATGTACTTACCCTCAGGCCATCCAAGATTAGGATGAGTTTGTTTCTTCATCAGAACAGATTTGGAGAAATGTAGCATTGCATCAGTGTCTCAGCAATGGATGCTCTGCAGTGAATGGGTGCCGTCAGAATGAGAGACCAAACAGCTGATAAAAACATCACAATAAGCCACACCACTCCAGTCCATCAGTTCACATCTGGAGAAGACAAAAACTGCATGTTTTCAATAAACAGTTCCATCGTTAAGGCATTTTTAACTTCAAACTGCCACTTCTGGAAAAAATACCAGTCCATAACGCTTCCTCCAGTGAAGTCGTCTTGTCTGAATCATGAGAGAAATCTGCACAGATCAAGCACCGATTACAAGCCAAAACAGCTCTACACACATTTATATGTGTGTGGATTTTGATGTGAGAGACAACAGGAGATGGACTTTTACATTGGAGGAAGTGTTATTATGGATTATGGACTCATATTTTGGCCAAGAGTGATGGTTTGAAGTTAAAAATGCCTTAAATTATGGATTTGTTTCTTTCAAACACACAGCTTTTCTCTTGACAAGACATTAACTGATGGACTGGAGTGGTGTGGATTACTTGTGGATTATTGTGATGTTTTTATCAGCTGTTTGGACTCTCATTCTGACGGCACCCATTCACTGCAGAGCATCCATTGCTGAGCAAGTGATGCAATGCTATATTTCTCCAAATCTGATGAAGAAACCAACTCATCCTAATCTTGGATGGCCTGAGGGCGAGTAAATGTTCAGCAAATAGTCATTTCTGGGTGAACTATTCCTTTAAATGTGTGTTTGGGTTCATGCTATTGGGAGACAAAAATGTGCATTAAAACAAAGAATAACTGTAGCACATTTGCTTTTTAAAACACAAGGTCATGGGTTTGATTCCCAGGGAATGCAAGAACTGATTAAATGCATACTGCACCTTCAATGCAATGCCCGTCACTTTGAATAAAAGCATCTGGCAAATGCATCACTGTAAAAGTAATTGTAAGTGATGCAGTTAAACAACCACAGAATATTTCTAGAATTGCTGAACTCCAGATTTCATCACAGCGTCCGGCATGGATGAACTTTACACCCAGATAAAAATGAACTTTAAGGAAAGATTCACAGTATAAACGGCCAGATTCCCATATACAGCCTGAGTCTCATGTTTCAGGTCAGACGTCGAGGAGCAGAGCCCGGTAACATTACAAACACTCCCTGATTAGTCTGAAAACCAAATATTTACCCGCTGTTTACATTTTCAATCCATAAGGGAGTAATTTTAAGTGTAGACACATCTGAAATGGTTCTCTGTTTCTCTCATTAGTGTGATATATGGGCGGCATGTTTAAAGATTCATATAGAAATGATGGAGAAGCTTGAGGACAGCAGGGTTACGGCCACATCCTGCTGCTCTAGTGTAAAGAAATCGATTTTGTGGGTTAGGCTAATATTAGAGGTGTATTTCACCAGCTCAGACGGGATTCTGCACAACCAGAAAAAGACTTCTATGAGCTCTTTAAAATAAGAGAGGATGTAAAACCGGGTGTTTGATGGGAAAAGTCCCTTTTTTTTTGTCTGAGGGAGGCTTGATTTCCCACCCATACAAAGAAGTACTGTGATGTTACACTGATGGTATCAGATGGTGCTTAGATATTCATTTACTTGAAGATAATTTTACATAATTATCTTATGTAAAAATGTAGTTTTATTTTTTTATATACACTACCATCAAAAATATAACATAAAATGTTTTTATGTTTTTGAAAGAAGTCTCTTCTGCTCACCAAGACTGCATTTATTTGATCAAAAATGCAGTAAAAACTGTAAAAATGTGAAATATTATTACAATTCAAAATAGCTGTGTAAGTGTAATTTATTTCTGAGATGCAAAGCTGAATTATCAGCATCATTCCTCCAGTCTTCAGTGTCACATGATCTTCAGAAATCATTCTAATATGATTATTACCAATGTTGAAAACACTTGTGCTGCTTCATTTTTTGTGGAAACTGTGATGCATTTTAATTTTCAGGATTCTTCGATCAATAGAAAGTTCAAAAGAACAGCATTTATTTGAAATAGAATCTTTTGTAACGTTATAAATGCCTTTACTGTCACTTTTGATCAATTTAATGCATCTTTGCTGAATAAATGAATGATTTTTTTTTTTTAATCTTACTGACCCCAAATTTTTTATGCATATAATCATAAATTATAACATCATCAAAAAAGTCATTATTGTTGCATATATTTTATATTATTTTACTAATTTATATTGTTTTGACTCCAATTATAATAGTTATAATAAAGTTATAATAATATAATAATAGTTATAATACAATTTTTTGTTATTTTTATTTAATTGAATTAAATTATTATATATATATATATATATATATATATATATACACTGTGTATATCTTGTATATCTTAATTCGATAAAATTAGATATTATTAAAAAATAAATTAGTTTTATATTATTTTAGTAAATTTGAAAAAATGTATAAATACTTTAATTTGAATATCTAATGCAGTTTTTGCAGGATCAGGAAATGTTGCATGCTAGATTTGACCTTGTGTTGCCCGTATAGCTCATTTATCCATATGGTGTTTCACAAGCTATATAATGTCAATCAGTACTGATCA